ATTTGTATTTAAATACCTCCGATAAGAAGCTGTCGGTACTTCTGTGAAACAACAGCCTAGGGAGACTATACAAAGTCAGCTGCATTATAGAGCAAAAAGGCTGATTATGGGCACCTCATTAGTTTAGTCTACGTGATACATCGAGACAGAATACTTAATCTGACTACCACAATTAATGAAATCATAATTGCACACACACGGTGCGACTCTTATGGTTTCGTGTTGCTGATAGAAGAAATGTGTAGAATCAACGAAGCTCGATTAGAATTTAAAATCAGCACTCGTTAGTCTTGTTGTAGCATACTTATGCCCCGAAAGTTCGCAAAAGTTATTTCTGTGGCTCTCTCCCGTTAACATTTTCAGTATTTTGCTCCAGTTAATAATCGTGAGTAGCTGAAACAGCCAACTAATCAGAGTATTTGAGGATCGTACCATAACAGCAAATTACAGAAGTCCATAACAATGTTCTGAATGACTAGTAAGTTACGAAGTAAATTTCTTCTGTATCATATATATCCACTTCTGAATAGCTTCTGATTTCAATAAACTGCAAGTAACCAGTAGGCTAACTTCCTTCTTGTTACCGGCTTACTTTTGTCGCTTCGTCTATGAAATTGGATTCTGTCAGCTGTCATCATTTAGAGACCGATTAGTTATATCTCAATATTCATTTTGCTTTTCTTTTAAAAGTAACTGGAACCAATGAAAATAATTGTGTTTTTTATAATATAAATGACGAAGTTTATTTCATCTTATGAAGTCAGTAGATTAGTCTGTTCAGTGTCCTATCAACTAAACTGAATTTTAAGTATATTAGTAACTACATCTGACCAGTTTAAAATCCATTTTCATCCAACTTATTTTCAAATGAAAGTTATCAGTTCACCTGATAGGGAATGGTAAAGTCAAACTGAAGCATATAACATGTCAGGTCCTTTACTTTGATCTGAATTAAAGCTACTAGAATACAAATATAAAAAAGCGATTTTCTGATCTGAATTTACGTTCAAGTGAATTCTATTACTTTTATAATCATTAATGAAAAGTGGATATCACCTTCACAAATGCAAATGAATATGAATAGACTGTTATTTAGAAAGCATAATAATATTTCTGTGTTTCCACTTGGCACTGAAATCATCATGTTGTCTAATTTATTGAAAACTGATACATAAATTAAACTTGACTTTCTTCCTTCTGAAGTCGGAAACATTGCCTTTGATTTCGTTTCCTTTAGTGATGATTATTATCAGCTGAAATTATTGCATAAATCCCAATGTATTTAGAAGTTCTCAGGTGTGTTCACATGCGTTCCATTTAGTAATGGTGTTCCCTTTAATACATAAACCCATCATCCATACAATAGAGCTTGATCATTCCAGCCAATTAAAATAAATAATGGGGAATAAATGGTGTAGGCGTGGGAAAAAATGGCAATCAATAACTGTTGCATAAATGGTGGATCTTGTGACTCGATAGTCTAGTAAATAACACCCTGGGATTTAAAATGATGAAAGTTTGATTCGAGTTTCAATAACAGAACAATTCCGCACTAGGATACTAGTGGTGTTAATGATAAACCGAGATTTTTTAAAACACTTTACAGTAGTTCCACTACTAGTTAACATGTTTAAACAAATAATATCGAAATGAAAATACTGATGTGACGTTGGCTTTAAATATACAAACCATACATTAACAGACGTTGCTCATCTCTGTTCTGTGAAGTAAACTATAGTTCAAATACAGCAGTCTGTTAAGCCATTAGCAACGGAAAGTGTTTGAACTGTCTATCCTAAAATATTCACCGGAAAACTCATTGTATGTATTTCAGTTTAAGGTTTTTGAGGATTTATGCATCTCGAGAACCACTAAAAACCTGGAAGCACTGCCTAATGTTTTGAGGTGAATATCCTGAGATTATAATGGGAAGCCAAGATCTTTGGGGTTGACCAAATCAGGAGTGAAATTGATAACAACCGATAAATTTGAATGATCGTCAAGCTATTTCGCGAAATGACAAAAGTATGAATTTGTGAACCACTGGATTTCTACCTAGTTCATGAATACGGAACACGCTCATGGAGAAGTCTGAAGGTCCTCAGTCTGGTTTCCTGTGAGGTTGTGGATGTGCACTGCTGAGAAGTCCTGTGTTTTATACTAGGACGAATCAGCTATCTAGTGCTCCCAGGTTTCATTAGCTCTCTAAATGACATCAGTGTGGGATAAATACTACCTTTAAATATTGTGTATTGTAAAAAACTTATTGGGATGGTTTCCTAGAAGGCGAAAATTTGTCTTTGACCTTCAAAAAAGAAAAAAAACTGACATACAAACGCAAAGAAACGTCATGAAATAAATTTTGGACTGATGAGAATCAAAATGTTTACGATAAAAATATAAAAAAGTTGGTGAGTTGATTTTCAACAATATGTCTTTTCATCTTTTCAACTTCATAGTTAGTCCACCGGGATAACTATGACTACTGATTGTAATCGAAAGGTTGAAATATATGGCAATGCACTGTTCAGTACAAGGAAATGATCACTCAACACAAAACTTCTCTCAAAACCTTTTTCGTTCACACATTAGATCAACCTGTTCTTCAATAATCTGATCGCTTCTTCGTGGTTCCATCTTATCAACAGAATGCACAGTACACCATCTAGATCCATTTTTACTTCACAATATACAAATGAAATTTGTTGGTTAGTGATAATGCTTCTTTGAATAAAAAGCGTTTAGGAGTTCGCTTCCTTTTGGACAAATCCTTCTGCATACATTGCTAAATTAGTTCCACTGTCCATAAATACGCGAATGTATGATCTTCAAATCTATATCTTACGGTACTCATAAAAGCGTTTAAGATCGATTTCATATCTAGAAGAAATTCTGTGTTATGACAGGTTGAATGTGGTGAAGTAATAAAACCTTCAGAATAGTTGTGTGCTATATCCAGGAAGAAATTTACCGAACACATTTCTGTGATGATAATTTCGAAATGTATGTATGAAAACCATTCCACTGAGACATAAAAGCAGATAAATATTCGCCTATAGTTTTGTGAGTGCATTGTACTGTACACCAGCCGATTTCAAACAACCAGCCATTTGGTTTGACTTCTTAAACTTATAGTTGACCATAGAATTGCTAAATCCCTAACTACCATTGCAGAATTCAATATCAAATGATAGAGTTGTTTTGTCTGTGATAAATGAAATATTTACTATTGCTAACTCTGTCTATCAAGAAGTAAACAAGTGAGTCGAATCTGAACTCACTGACATATAAATCGGATATACCTACCCCCCAGTAAGCGATGTTGTTCCCACTCAGACTTCAACCTTGAACCGGTCGCTTCAAACGCCACAGCTTTATCTTCTAGGCCATACAGTCACAATAGCCATTTTTTACTCGCGTCCTGAATCCCACTCCTAGCTACCCTTCATCATTAATATGAAAATGAAACACAGGCAGTATCGTGACAACCGTGGAGGAGCACATATGCCAATAGATACAGATCAATCAAGACAAACCAACGACAGAATACTAGAAGTACAACATAATCATTATCATATAGCTAAAAACCAAGAGTTCATATTAACACGTAAGAATTTAGTGCTGGAAGTCGTCAAGCTTCTTATTTAAGCATCCAAATTGTTATGGAACGAGTATGAAGACACATGAATAGAATTCGTTTTGCTACTAATCTTTGAATGATATTTCACCCTAAAAACTCACTTTTCAATGTTACAAGGAAGGTTTAAAGCATTACGTCAAGTCAGCAAGCATCCCACTCTACTTGCTTTTGCACAGTCAAGTGCATCTTCCTTACCACGCTTCAGCTCATGAAACGCACTATTCAGCATAATCCAGCCCGGCTAGCAAAGGCAGAGCAGAAAATCTTCCTGAGCTCCTTGGCAGAAGTGCTGATGAACCCAGGGAAACAGTTGGAGAAATAGTAAAAGTCTGGAAGCATTGAACCGCTGTTTAATCCTAGCATGGGAATTCGCAGACCAAAACGGCACGAAAGGCAGGATCACTGGATCTCGTGATAAGCACGATTTCATTCATTAACTGAATCAGAACCCAGTGGCTCACGTTTCTTGAGTTTAGCCATCACTAACTTACAATGCCATCAGACAGAATTTGTCTTCACAGCAAACTAAGTTGAGCCTATAGACAATAGTTGATCATTAGACCTTTATGAAATCAATCATCATATTGTTCTACAATTAAGAGGTTGTGAGAGGATGAACAACTCCCTGGCTGATGTTGATCTGTGATGAAAATCAATCAGTGCCTTCTGAATGGAAGAGATTAGGAAAGCTGGTCTTTCCTGAAATATTTAAAAGATCTTGTACAAGGTGAGATGTGGCATTTCAAAGGGAAATTTTCCACCGAACGTATATATAATTTGCTTTAATCATTTAAATGAGTCGTCTGAATGTTGCGTCTACCCTTATACCTTTTTAAAATGTTTTCAACTAGCCGTTTTTTTAGTTTAGTTCAATCCCTCGGATAGTTAGTTTTAGTTTCAGATCCTTGTACTAGTTGAATGAATCACCGTCACCAAGGTTACGTTGGAGTTTCTGTTAATTCTTCCTTATGGATCTGACGTTAGTCCAAAACCACCAATCTGCTTTATATTATTGCCTTGAATTACGTTGCAATAACCATCTCGTTTGAAAATATTGTTTTAGAATTGACTTTGTTGAAGTATTACATACTGAGAATTCCATACTGTATCATAAATATTGTTTGGGACAAAGTGACTATCATTATTATTAAAAGAATGAGTTTATGGAAATAGAAAATTCTATTTATTTCCATCGTTTTTTTCTCTCCACAAATCCCATTTCCTTTTAAAATAAATAGGAATCAGTTTTAATTGGAAGCATAAAAATAAAGTGTAATTGAAAAATTCAAGAATCAACGCAATAAAATACTTTTTTTCAGCTAACCATCTTTTTATTGGTTTATGTAATTAATTTACTTACAGAATACATGATCTCCGTCCAGCCTTCCATTGTTATACACTGGAATACAGTTAGCATAGCATAACCAATATTATCAAAACTAGTTATTCCATAATTTGGTCCTTCCCAGTAACCTTTACACACATAATTTAATGGGCATACAAATGCTCCTTGAGGAACAGCACCAGTACCAATTGCTGAACTGTTTGAAAGACTACACGGTGCTAATGTTGGTCGATTTGGCAAAGAAAGTGGTAAGTGGTCTGGATTATCTGAAATTTAAAATATTGAAATGTATTAAGTAAACTTTTTCTTTTGAAAATTATAACGAATCACAAAGTAAATAGAATGTTACTCCGTACATTGGTGTCTTTTATTGACATATATTTCATAGCATATTTACACCTTGTTGGTAAACAAAAATGATGAAATCAAATACAAGAAACTTGCCAATTCAAAATGTTTTTAAAAAATTGTATTACGGGTGCGTTATATGGTAACTGCACCAAATTTTGACGCCAAAGGAAACATCACCTTACAAATAATACTACATGTTGACGAGTATGTGTTAAATTTCCATCAAGCATAAATTAAACTTAAGGAAAATCTAAATGTATCGACTATGACAGAGTTAATCTAGCCCTCACTGGTGACCAGCTTCGAGAGGTGATTCCTGAAGTTCCAATGAGAAGTCGTGACCAGTGGAGTCAACCAAGTCAAACATGAGGGCACTTAATCAATGACGATATTTGATGTAGGTCGTGTTATGTCATGAACTGACAGAAGTTGAAAATATTTACCATGGGATTCCCACTCACTGGCTCAATGATAAGGTGCTGACCACGGAACCTGAAGGTCCTGGGTTCGACCCCTGGTGTTGCGGGGTCATGGATGCGCACTACCGAGGAGTCCCGTACTAGGAGGAAACAACTGTCCAGTTCCCCTAGATTCCAGCTATTCTATCAACTGATGTCAGTCCATGATAAATACCAACCTAAAATCAATTAATAAATATCCACAAATCTGCAGAAAACATAAAAGTTGCCAATTTAATCAAAATCACACAGCATCAGTTGTCTTGTATCCAAGACGAAGTTTGACGTAGCTTTGGCTGTGTTCGTTTCATACTTCAGTAAACAGATATCAGTACGAGCTAAGTTAACTGTTCTGTAAATCAGATATGGTTGGTATCTGTCGACAAGAACACTTCTCGAAATTAACCATTACAGATCCAGATCACATATATAATAACAAGTAACGAATAGACCAGTTGGAATAAAATGCAAATCTCTTAATGCGTAGCATCTAACAAGATATGTAATATAGGTTTCTGTAATAATTAGTCACTGTGTGGTAGTAAATGTGGTGCTTTCCTTGGTGAATGAAACAAGTTTCCAGACCCAGGGCGGAATAACTCACTTGAAGATTGTGGACAGTTTTTCGCCATTTATATGAAAAATGGGCTTAAGTTAAATGGAATTTTCTATTTTCTTTACAACTAGTTTTTTCTGTTTCATACGATTCTCTAAATAAACCTATGTATCTTCATGGACGTTGAATTACTCGACCTCTGTTGATGGATGAGCTCCTATATGGATGCTTTGACATTGCCGAGTATTCATTATGTTATATTCATCTTGGTGACTCACAGTGGAATTCAGGATGCACATTTTGTCATAGTTGGTAATCGTCAGCTGGATGTCCCTGCACCGAAGTGAGTGGTTGTTCCGACTGAGACTTAGACACAGTATCTACCATTCAGACGCCCAAGCGTTATCCGTTAGGCCTCAACAATAGCTGATATCTGTTGTACAAGTGGTGGCTGTCATGCCTCACTGGTCTCCTGAATAATGCTTTGGCGTTTGAAGTGATTGGTTCGAGGTTCAATGGGAACAACATTACTCACTTTGATGCAAGTGCACCCGGCTAATGAGTCCCAAATACGCGCATCATGGATTCCACTGCAAGTCACCAAGATGAAAACTATAACTGTCTGATTCGTATTTACCCAGAATTTTTTTCTCGTTTTTATCAAAGCTGGTTAAAAAATACCACTAACAATGAAAGCGTTTTTAACTAATAAAGGTATAAGTCTACATGGAAACGAATGCAGAATGAAAACCCAAATGAATCTCAAGCGAGTCAAATATACTCCAATTTCTTGAAAAATCTTGAAAGATTATTTATAGTTTAGCCTATTATTTTCCGTAACAGTGAAGTAGGAATCATGACCGGACTATTCTCTTCTTAAAACGAAACATCTCTCAGTTGAACTATTTTTGACAGTATATTTTTTGTATCGATTTTCTGTCTAAGAGTCTGTTAGGCAATGCGGCAACATTCTCTCTTTTTTTAAGATTGATTCGGCAATCGTACCAGTGGTCGGTTGAATAATCCAAATATACTATAAAACCGGTAACATAGATTCTGTGGTTAACTTTCAAGGGATTATTACTGGTGTTGTGAAGTCATGAAGCGGAGGGCTAATGGTTTACTCAATTTATGCGCTATGAATCAATCTTTAATGATGAAAGTAAGTGTAAGCTGAAATTGATTGACATTTACTCATGATTTACAGTTTGCTTACCTTTTCAATAACTTATTAAGGGGTATATTTAGTATTTGAAGGATAATGTACTGCTATCAAGCAGATAATTCAACTTTCAATTTTTGATACAGCGTGATGATTCTAAATAAACTGAAAACCTGGATCAGAGTGGCCTCCGTGCTCAGTACTCTACTAACTAAGCCACAAGACTCATTTCCATCTATTTTAGTTTTGATTCAAAACATTTTCAACTACGTTCCAAATGATTAGGTTCCTTTACAAAAATTACAGTCTTATAGACATCTTACATCAACAGTCTCAAATTTTTTCAACTTAAATATCACATTTTTTGATAGTTGAATTACTGTTTATTCTACATGAATTTTATGGATATCTCATGATTACAGAAAAAGCACCATTAGTTACATCAGTTCAATGGAAAAGTTCTAAACTGTTTAGTTAAACAACATGAATTTTGATCATGACTAAGCATATATTGTGGTAAAGAATACCAGCTTACTAGAAAGCCTAATTTCAAGATTTCCTACCTATTACCAATAAAATTGCTACGGTTCATAGTGAGTGAAATCCAATGGTTGTATATTTTCTTCAATTAATATAGCTAAACATTTCGGTTCGCAACAATTCTGTATTGAATTCTGAATGTGTTGTTTGTTCACTATGATGTCTATCTGACTGAATTTCTATCTCACTCAAAAATGTGATAAAATGCTTTAAAAAATTTGGTGACACAATTTACAGGTCATATAATCGCTAGTAATAATATAAACTTCATATTCTGTCGAATTCATTCATTTCAAACACGTAAAAATATTATTTTGGCTATTGTCCTTAAGTGACCTAACTCATGAAAATGACATCAATAATAATAAAAGCTGAGAATGTCGTCTTATCTATGATAAGCTGTATACATTACACAAAACTATATGAACATTTCTAACTGGCTTGTTTTTAGGCAACATATTCATATTTCCTGATTTAATCTAGACCATAGATAACTAAAACAGAGAGACCGAGTTGGTATTTCTTTTGGTTTATTTATATAAAGTACTCAACAACTCCTGATTACATTTGCTGCCTTTGTAGATCATTTGGTAGAGCATTGAGCCGGAAACCCGGTGGTTGCTGGTTCAGTTCCTGCCACGATCCAAATTTTCATCTCATCTTCAATCATCATCCAGTATCAATACTAGTCTGACAAACTAAGGCTATCTCTCAAATAGTTGATAGGAATCTTCACAAAGTCGACTGAATATTTTTCTACTGATTGTTTCTTCTGAACAACTTTTTATCTTCTCCCAGTTAAGTGATGACTGTTTGAAAGAGTAAGAATAATTTTTTAGCAACCATAAGCAATAACAATCATTCAGAGAACCATTCTTCATATTATAGTCTATGGTATTATATTTTGAAACTTTTTGATATTCAAGAGAGGAAGATTTGAATTGTTTGCTCTGTTTCTAACTAAATGGATCAATCAATTTTGCCTGCATCAAATACAGGGCAAAACCTTTAGGTCAATTTGGTACACCTGGCGATTTGTAGTCTCAGACAGTATGATATGCAGTTTATTTGACCTACTTAGTGAACTATCATGAACCAAACGCTTCTTTTGTCTTCATCATCTCAAGGTGTGGATTCATTCACACCATTTCCCATAAGATCTTTTTAGTACAAGCAGCAAGCTAGGTTAAAGCCGATTCTCTTTCTTCTGACCTATGACACTGAGTGAATTGTGTACTGATTTAAGTCAATAGAATCCTTATAAAGCTTGTTGGTATTCATCATAGACTGTCATTAGACAGAGGAACATTGGAAAACTGGGAGCACTCGATAGCTGTTCCGTCCTGGCATAGAACTCCTCAGCAGTGTGCATCCATGACCCTATCACACCAGGGACCGAACCCAGGACCTTCAGGTTCCGTGACCAGCACGCTACCATTGAGCCATTGGGTGGAAATCTATGATAAATATTTCCTACTTCTGTCAGTTCACGATGCGGCGTGACCAGCACGCAATATCATCGTTGATTATTTGTCCTCAAGACCACCAGGTTTCCGCCATCGTTCACGACTTCTCATTGGAACTTTAGGAATCACCCTTCAAAGCTAGTCACCAATGAGCGCTAGATCAATTTTTGTATTTGGGGATGTCTTCGAAGCCACCAGGTTTGTAACATCTGAAGTTCCAACGAGAAATCATGAACGATGGGGCAAACCTGGTGGATGATGACATTGCGTGATGGTCGCGCCATGTTGTGAACTGACAGAAGTTGAAAATATGGACCTTTGGATTCTGACGTATCGGCTCAATAGTAACGTGCTGGTCAAAGAACCTGAAAGTTCTGGGTTCGATATTTGGTGGGGCGGGGTAATAGATGCGAACTACTGAGGAGTCCCATGCTAGGACTAAACAGCTATCCAGTGCTTTCAGTTTTTCACTGTTCCTCCATCTGATGTCAGTCCATGAAAAATACCAACTTAAGAAATAAATCAGTCCCCGCAAACCCCAAAAATAAAACTTATAGATTGAATCTTTTTAAAATTTTAAAACCGTTTACCGTAAAACCAAATAGCATGAACCTTTTACATGGAAAATCTAATGCTTTTCAAGAAAGTATTCAATAAATCACAACCTGAGGAACATTGAACCTTTTTAGTATTCAATATTACGGTTATCAATCTACCATGCAGATCATTGATA